GATATCCATAGCTTGGTGTGTGTTACAGACATCTGCCATGGCCCACTTGAAAAGAAAAAAAAAAAAAAAAATCATAAATCCCAACCCCAGAGCTGAGCCCGTGGGTTTTCATTCCCATCGTTTTCATGCCAAGGAGCGCAGCGCTCCCCGGCAGGGCCGGGCTAACACGATTAGCCAGGCAGATCCACCACCCGCATCCGTCACCCCCAACGCTTGGGCAACTTTGAAAAGTTCAGCAGCTCGACAGGTGAGGCCATGAAACCCGAGCAGGGCAGACAATGTCGTCCCCCCCCCCCAGCGTCGTGCTGGGAAGAACTTGTCACGTGCGTCATATCGGGCAACATGCTTGAAACAGAGCAGTGCACTGAAACCCCAGCAACACGAATAATCTTTGCCATCTGTTTGAACAACTCAACCCTCCTCAGATCTGGAGGAATGATCCCATGCAAACACAAGGGCCTTGCTGACTGATTTTAGCAGCCCAGCCCTTCTTTTTTGGGGCCATTTTCTTCCCGACGTCACCCAGCGGTTGAGACACATCGTGGGGAGCCGCTGCAACGGCCAAGGGGGCACTGAGCTCTGTGTAGGTTTGGAGGGGACCACTAAAAGTCCCCACTTGCTTAAGCACAACACAGTTTAAGGCCAATAGTTGATTTTTTTTTTTTTTTTTTTACATCAAGAAAACAAAAATCTCAAAGGCAAAGTTGTTCGGCAAAACCATCCCAGAGAACGCAACTGTCCTTTAGGACACGCTCGTTCCAGCCCAGCGCAGCTCACAGGAATGCACTGGAGGAACTGGTCTTTGCTCAGATGCTGTCATTTGCACCCAAAGTCCAGTTGGGAGAAAGAGGGCTGTTCTCAAACTTCCTGGGGCCAGCTAAGCTTGTGACAGTCAGCGGAAACCAACCCGTTGAGTTTTGCAAGCACCCGGCCGTGCCCGCGCTCCGGGTCCGTGTCCCGCCGGGAAGCGAAGTGGCAGTGGCAATCAAACAGCAGGGATTAAACCCTCCCCAAAGTTGAGATTATAGAGACTGACCAAACACAAGGGCCAAACCCTGCCTTGCTCAAGATTTAGCACAGCAAGGCTTTCACCCTCAATTTTAACCATCATTTCGTGACTCTTCCCTTGCTCACGGCCTGGCCCGTTGCAAGCAGATCGCATCCCTACACTGTCCTTGGGGAGAAAAGGGAGGCTCCCAGGGAAAAATAAAAAATAAAAAAATGAGGAAGTTTCTCCTGATTCAGGAGGTGCTGTGAAGCAGCTCTTTGCACATTAAGGTCCCCAGTGTCATTTAGGTGATTTGGAAGTCTGAGAAAGGCACATTTGAAGCAGTTTATCGCACGCCACCAGACCTCGGGGCCTGATCCTGCTGACCCAAACCACCCAGTCTCACTAAGGAGAATGAACTAAGGCAACTTAGCAAGAGCAGGAAGACAAAGCACCAGCA